TATATCATCTGCGTACATCAATGCTGGTAGTGCCTGTGCAATGAGTTTTCCTTGTTTGACGAAAGGAGGTTGAAGCCCAGTCTACTCCCCAACAATTTGGCCTCTAATCCTTGTAAATACATCATGAATAACAAGGGTGATAGAGGACACCCCTGCCTGAGCCCCCGTTTCACCTCTGTGGGCTTAGATACCTGCTTTTCCCACTTTACAAATACCTTGTTACTTTTATAGATCTTTAAAAAATAAGTGACTACATCTTCCATGTCTAGTGTGTCAAGTATTCCCCAATATTCCTCTTGAATTACGCTATCGTACGCTTCCTTTTATATCCAAGAATGGTAGCCGCAGGGGCCTGTGTTATTTTTCTGAAATTTCGATGCACTGCGTCAGTGAGAACAGATTGTCTTCCAAACTCCTGTGTTTCCGAAACCCATTTTTCAGTTCCCCCAGCACCCCCTCATCCTCTATCCATGCCTGCAGTCTTTCCTTTATAATCTGCATCGCCAGCGTGTACACCACTGATGTCACTTTTACAGGACGGTAGTTGTTTATGTCAGCTTTGTCCCCCTTTCCTTTATAGATCATGCTCATCCTGCTAAGTTTCCATCCATCGGGAACTTCTCTATTGATTATTATTTAGCTCACAACCTCTCTCAAAGCCTGCTTAGACTTAAGCCCTAATGTTTTTATCAGCATAATCGGAGTGCCATCTGGGCCTGTTGATGTACTACTAGGAACCCTTTTCTCAGCCCTTTCCCACTCTTGTGAAACTGGAGCCATTGCGCCACTTGATTCATCCTTGTCTATTGTGGTGCATAAAGCACATTTGTGTTGAAATGTTTCTGTCACCCTTGTTCTTATATATTCAAAAGCTTCGTCCCCTTCTAGCCTAGCACATTGAGCTGTAGTTATAAACCTCTGCTCTAGGCTCTTCTCATTTATTAGGGAGTTTAGATGGTTCCAAAATTTCGCAGCTGCCTTTCTAACTTTTTTATGTACTTCTGCCAGCCACTGGGCCCCCTTTATTCTAATCTTTTCATTGATCAGAAAGGATGCATCCCTCCTACAGCTTAGAAAGATTTCCCATTTTCTTTCAACATCATCTGTCGGTTCACCCCGCTGCTTGGCATGTCTGTTTTCCCTAGAGGCTTCCTGACGTTTTGCTATGGCTCTCCTAACTTCCTCATCCCACCAACTTTTGGGTTTGTGTCTTCTTTTTCGGGGTAACTTGTCACGTGCCTTAGCAAGCTCTACTCAAACAGTCTAATTAGATTTGTGTATGTCCACACTGTTTTATTAACCTCGGTGATTACTTTGTCAATTTGTTTAGTGGCTATTTCAATTTGCCTTTCTGAATAAAAATTTTCCTGTAGTTGCTTATCTTGTCTCCTTCCCACTTTCATTGCTCTTCCAAAACTTAGCTTGATACGTTTGTGATCACTACCCAGACTTCTGGAGCCACCTTCATCTATGTGCATTCCCCTGAGTTTGTCATACATCCTATGTGACATCAGTGCGTAATCTATCGTCAACTGCAGCCTTCCTGCCTCCCATGTTATTTGCTCCTCACACTTCTCGGTACTGTTGCAAATGATCAAATCCAGCCTTTCACACATATTCATGATCATTTTGCCTGTCTGGTCAGTATACCCATCGATATCTTCTATGTGTGCATTCATATCTCCCAGTATAATTATCTCGGACTCTCCTCCTAACTCCTGAATATCCTTTGATATACACTCCACCATTGCCTGGTTTTCCTCTCTGTCCTTTGCTCCCATCCACAAGTACAAAAAACCAAGGAGTGTCATTTGACCTGCCACTTTCCCTTTTAGCCATAAATGTTCCTTGCACTCCTGCTTGACCCTTTGCCAGTCTGTACTTTTATGAATGAATGCCCCAATACCACCTTCTGCTGCCTTCTGTTCTATTACATTATTCCCACGCGTAGTCCGGATTGTTCGGAGGTTGTTCCATGTCCCTGAGATGTGTTTCTACAAAACCGTATACCATCGGCCTCTCTTCCCTAAGCTGTTCTTCTATCTCTTCCCACTTCAGCCTGTTCCTACCACCCTGCGTATGTTAATATACCCTATGTCTGAATTGGCTCGGCGCTCGTGGCTATGTTTATTCCTGCCTAGGACTCTACCTATCTTAGATACTGCTGCCACTTTGGAATTGTATCTGTCCATACCACCTGTCAAAAAGTCTCCCTGGTTGTTTTCCTCGTTACTAGCTATCCTGCACCCTTGAAGGGCCCGCTTGCCCCCCAAAAAAGCTACTGCACGTCCTGCAAGTCGCCAACCCACCTCATGACCTAGCCGCCCATTGAAGTGAATTCTGTCTCGTTGAAAAACACCCCATTTATGCACTGTGTTTATTTCCACCACCTCAAAGCCTTTCTCTCGACTCATCCGCCATATTTCTTGGTTTGCATTGACAACCGCTCTTAGCAGGTTGCTGTCACGCACTGGTACCTCCGGTATTGTGCATATCGCTACCTGTACCTCAGGAGAAGTGGCGCGCATGTCATCGACGCCTTTCGCCAGTGTGGTTGCTAGTCCTGCTGTATCTTCATTCAAGACATCGTTTAAACCGCCTGAAAATATCACTACGTTTCGTCTATCAGCTGTAGTTTTGAGTTTTGTGCTCGCTTGCCTCATGACTGCTTCCAGCTTGCGTCCTGGGAACGCCGCTACTGCAACCCTCTTGTCACCTCTTGCCCTCTCTTTGATGGCTTCTGTGCATCGATTTAAATTCGAGTCCCCGGCGATTATCACATGCTGTGACTTTTCAGCTGGAGCGTCCTGCACCTGTGGGTTATTTGCACCTGTGACGCCAGCTGCTTTGTCCCCTCCCAGCCCCACCACTACTTCGCTGAAGCTGGGCCTTGCGACAAATGAACCAGCTGAACCTGTTTTTTTCCAAACTTGCTTGCTCTTTCTTCTCCACAGTTCTGGTCTGGTTCCCTACTGATCTCTCCGTAGGCCGCTCCTCTGTTTACCTTGGCTAGTGCTTCCTCGGCGGACTTCAGCTTTTCTCCCATAGCCCTCGTTTTCTCTTGCTCTGTCGCCAACGCTGTCTCGAGCTCGGTGATTCTCATCAACATGTCACTCTGGGTAACCATCATTTTCTCCATTTTTTCCTCGACCTCACATTGCCTACACTTCACGTCAGCCTCTTCTCCTTCCACTTCTACACTTGGGTCCACTTCAAAACCAACCCCACATCCTGAACACTTCACAGTTTTTTCTAACCATGTCTTTCCGACACCAATTGTTCTATGACTTGTCTCACTCGATAATTACAAAACTCGAGCCCTGCCCTACGAAAAAGAGAAAGTCTAAACTCTACTACAAAAATTGCGTGTTCAATGTACGTGCACCTCCCCCACGGGGTGGCAAATGAAAAAGAAAAACAACAAAAAAACAAAAATAAACACACACACAAAATAATAAATAACTGGTGAGTGACCGCCGAAAAAGCCGTACAACTAAATAAGTGCTACAGAGCCCTATAAATATAAAGGCAAGCTCAAAACATGCAAAACAACTTATCTGTGCAGTCAATCGGGAGCGCTCAAAAAACACGTCCACCCACCGTGACCGTCCGAACCGATTCCTCATATAGAAGCATCGCCATCTAGCGGACATTCCAAGGACTGAACGAGAGAAGGCACACGCACACTTTCTTACGGCTTGTGCTTCGTGTCTACTTCCCACCTTTAGCCACCTCAACTTCATGGTATATACTAATTCACTGTATTCATGGCACTGCGGCTCAAGGAGAGACGCGGAATGGGAGGCTGCGTTCGTACGGCTCCTGTGGACGCGCAACTAAATCTTTGTTTCTAGAGTTTTTTCTTCAAGTGTTCATGAACTGTTGCTCGCATCGGTTCCGAGAAGTCATCAGGATCCTACCGATACTATATTTGACCACAGTGAGTGAGTTTTTGTCAAGTTAGGAACAATTTTTTTTTCCTGTGGAGCGGTGCTCTTATTAACCCTAACGAGTGGCTCGGGAGACCGCGCTTTTGCTGGGCTTGTTCTCGCCTGCGGCCGGCCCTTCGGAGGACCGGTGCGCGGAATTATTTGCTCACGATGGAGTATGAAGTGCACGGAGAGGATATTTCTGAAGAAGAGTTTACTCAAGATAAAGGTTGGCAGTCCGCTGGGGCCAGAAGAGCTGGTGCCAAAACACGCACTGCTGACTCTAACGCGCCATCATCGCAGCCGGGCGCACGCCGCGGCAAATCGAGAGGCGCTGCGCTGAAGTCCAAAGTAATACGCACGGGAAAGATGACATCAAGGTTGTGATCGGGCCGAGAGGTGGACTCAATATCTCGAAAATTGGCGCAGCTACGGTGGCTGACGCAATACTAGTTACCGCTGGCATAAGCCAGGAAGATTTGTGCCAGGATACTCTATGCCCGAATCTGCAGCAAAATATTATGGCTGCCAGTACTCCCAAGCGCGAAAACGCAGACCGATACGTTCGGATGAAGCAAATACTCATTTCAGGCAAGGTGCACGAGCTAAGTGCCTATGAGACTGCCCCACACTCCACTTGCAAAGGGGTGATTCGCAACGTCCCACTTCAAGACGGCCCTGACGTCATCGATGCGAAGGTTGTCAACACAAATAATTCACTCGCCTTAGCAGCCAAGAGAATATGGCACAGTCATCATCGCTTTCGACGGATATCGTGTACCGAACTTTGGTCAGGTACGGACCAGTGCTGATGCAGTGCTCACTCTACCGCAAGCAAATCGACGTGTGTTATGCGTGCGGCCGTCTTGGTCATCGCGCTGACGTGTGCCCCACTCCCGGTGACACGATTTGCCGAGGCTGTGGTGCCGCAAGCCCTGACAAGCAACATGTGTGTACTCCCAAGTACAAACTCTGTGGTGGCCAGCATCTCATCTCACGGCTAGCAAAGACTGTGCTCAAAGGTTCAAGATCCCGTACATTGTGCGCCGTCGTCGCAGTGGGCGTGCCAGAATGGCTGGTGCTGCGTCACCGTCCCCGCAACGTCACCTCGACACTGCGGACGAGTTCCAGTCTTCGTCACCCACCACAGATGCTCAGCGCAGAGGACGCCCCCGTTCCAGGGGACGCTCGGGAGGCCGCTTCGAATCCCGGCGCCGTGGTGCCTCCAAGGGATGTTCCGGCTCGCGCTCCAGGTCGACAGAACGTGCCCGGGGAAGTTCCACTTCTCAGCCTCGCTCCAACTCAAAGCCGGGGCACGTTTCGTCGGGGCCGACCAGGTCCCGCTCCCGCACGCCCACCACTTCTAACAGCAAGAAGCCGACGCTCTCCTGGGCCGACAAGGCCCGAGGAAGACGTGAGTCTCCAAGAGGCGACGAATCAAATCGCGGTTCTCCCCACGCGAGTTAGCTCGACGAGATGCGACGAGATAACGGGCAGCTGAGGAAAGAAAACGCGCAGCTTAAGCAAGAAATGAGCAGGCTAGCAGCAGAGATGGCGGAGATCAGAAAGCTCGCGTCCTCGCCTTCTTTGGCGCAGCCAGCCCCAACCCCGGTCGCCATGGATACGTCTGAGGCACTTCATAGGCCTAGCGGAACTAAGCGCCGAGCGGTTGAGAACCCACAAGAAGAAGAGGCGGTAAACTTACTGTCGGAACTCAAGGTTTCCTTTGTGAACATGCAGGCTACCTTAGCGAAAATTCAAGAAGCCGTGGCGCATCCAAAGATGGCATTAGGAGCACTGAGTGAACGCATAAGCAAGTTAGAAGAGGTCGATGCGAGGAGAGACCCTGGTCCGACTCCTTTGCAGGTCCCAGCACAACGCAATATACTAGCGCCACCGACTGAGGGCGCGATCCTCCGGGCTGGTATAGCTGCTCAGCCATCCCCTCAGCCTAAACATGGATAGTGTGGACGAAAACTTCAGAATCTGGCAATGGAACTGTGGCGGGTTTACTCACAAAAAGCCCGTTCTACAGCAATATTTAAGAACTCTCGATGTTAAGCCCCAAATAATCGCTGTTCAGGAAGTTGCGTCTGGCACCCCCATCAAAATCCCGGGTTACCTAGTAGCGTCATCACATTCAGGAGGTAGGGGAGTTGCCACACTTATCAGCAAAAGGTACAATTACCTATCGCGTGACCTCGGTGCAGTTGCCGATGGCATTGGGTACGTAATGATTGAAATTATAATGAACTCACCCAAGAAGGGTATTCGAAGAAACAGCCTTTTTATTCTCAACGTATACTGCAGTCCCAGTTATCACAGGGCGAGAGCAAACTCTCTCCTCAAAAGGGCTGTGAGCATGGCCAGTAGTTACCCCCTTGTAGTTGTAGGGGATTTCAACGCCCCACACAGCGTGTGGGGATACATGTATGATACCCCAAAAAGACGCGAGCTATGGCAGACTGCGACAGAAGCCGACTTAACGCTTATAACTGACAAGGATTTCCCCACTAGGAGAGGTAACTCCATATGTAGGTATACCACCCCGGACCTGACTTTTTTGAAGAATATAGATGGGGTCAAATGGGTCAACACGGCTCTAGACCTCGGAAGTGACCACTACATCATCGAGGTATCCTTCGCGATTGCCCGCTTTAGGACGAAAAAATTCAAGGTGGTCGACTGGGACGCTTTTCGCAAAGTCAGAGCTGAGAGAGCACCGACGGCTGGGACAGACTTTGAAGGATGGTACAAAGGAATCAGAGATGACACCACGGCAGCGATCAAGAAGGTCGTCACTGACCTCGATGTTGAAAACATGGACAGCAGGTTGGCACACCTACTAGAAGCCAAGCAAGCCCTACTCACGAGGTGGAAGGGACAGAAGCATAACAGGAGGCTCCACAAGAAGGTTTCCGAGGTTAACAGGGCGATCGAGGAGCACTGCAAAACCTTGTGTAAACAACAATGGCATGAGCTCTGTGAGAGCATCGAGGGTCAACTCAGATCTGGGAAGAGCTGGGGTCTTCTCAAACATCTTCTCGATCAGGGCAGCACCAGGTCCAGTCAGAGGCGATCCCTCGCGCGAGCCATCCATCTTGCTACTGACTCTACCCCGGACGAATTAGTTGTCAACAAGCTTATAGACAGGTATCTGCGAGTCGCGGATAGCTCTGCACCCACACAGTTCCCAGACTACGCGGGGTGCGACGTGCCGGGGTTGGACCAGGACTATACTGTGGCCGAGATACGGCAGGCTCTCTTTTCCCTAAATGCCAAATCCGCCCCTGGCCCTGATGGCATAACCAATAAGATGCTCAAGAACCTTGATGATGACTCCATCGAATTCCTTACGGAAAAAATTAATGAGGTGTGGCGCAGTGGGGAGGTTCCCGCACAATGGAAGACGGCCTGCACAGTTCTAATCCCGAAACCTGGTAAAGCACCAGGAATAGATAATCTAAGACCGTTTTCCTTAACTTCCTGCGTCAGTAAGGTCGCAGAGCACGCCCTTCTGAACCAACTCAAGGTGCACCTCGAGACCGATGACATGTACACCCACAATATGATTGGTTTCAGAGCTAGTCTCTCGACACAAGATGCCATGAAGCTGATAAAGCATCAGATCATCGACCGGAGCACAGGAGATACCAGAGCCATCCTTGGATTAGACCTGGAGAAGGCTTTCGACAACGTTTCTCACGAATTCATTCTCCAGTCTATTGCCAGCCTAGGGCTAGGGAAGAGGGTCTACGACTTCGTGAGATCCTTTCTTTACCAGAGAACTACCAAGCTCAAGATCGAAGGGTACTTCTCACGAGAGATCAACCTCGGTTCACGCGGCACGCCTGAGGGCTCAGTTATTTCACCAACACTATTTAACATCGTGATGATCGGGCTCTCCAAGGAACTCGCGAAGAATCAAGGAATCAATCATACCATCTGCGCAGATGATATAACTATCTGGTGCAGCGGCGGGAGCGACGGTCAAGTTGAGGAAGCCATGCAGCACGCAATCGACGTGACCGAACGTTTCCTCCGTCCCACCGGTCTCAAGTGCTCCCCATCGAAATCTGAGCTTCTGCTCTACAAGAAAAGACCCCGAGGCGGCGGCCACCGTGACTGGAAACCTGCGTCTCAAAGTGAAATACGGCTTTTCACTAGTGACGGGTCCCCAGTGCCAAGAGTGGATTCGCTCCGAATATTGGGAATGTATATCGAGTCCAACGGCGCTAACGGAGCTGCACTGAGACAGATCACTACCAAGACGGAAAGTGCTCTCACACCGCGGAATCAAGGAAGACAATCTCATCCGCATCATACATGCGTTTCTGCTCTGCCACCTTTCGTACTCGGCGGCCATGTATAATTGGCATGTTGCAGGAAGAAGTAAGCTCAATTCCCTCATAAGAGAGGTTTTCAAGCTCGCGCTCGGCTTGCCTGTAAGCACTGGCACTGAAAACCTTTTCAAGCTCGGTGTTCACACTACACTCGAAGAGATAATCGAGGCACAAGAGCGCTCACAGCTGCTCAGGCTTTCCGGAACCAAATCGGGCCGCAAGATACTCGATGATTTGGGCCTCAACTCTATTGACCAGTGCCCTGATTCCATGCAGATTCCCAGAAACATCAGGTCTCAGCTGCGCATCGCACCCATTCCCCGCAATATGCACCCTGCGCACAACGTCGGTCGGCGTAGGGCCAGGGGTAGAGCTCTGCTCGAGCACGTCCGTAGCGACCCCACTGATGCAAGCTTTGTGGATGCTGCGCCATATGTCCAACAAGAGGCATTCGCTGTTTCCATCGTCGACTCAAATTCCAGGCTCACTTGCTCCGCCACAGTACGCACATCAAAGCCCGTGATGGCCGAACAGGTTGCGATCGCGCTGGCTATGCTAGATCGTCGCAGAGAGTCAATATACAGCGACTCCAAGGCGGCTATCAAAGCCTACGAAACCGGGATGGTAGCCCCTCAGGCCCTCCGCATTCTCCAAAGCGTCAAGATTATCACGCCCCATTCTCTCACTTGGTTTCCCGCTCACCTGGGGTCAATTGAGAGCCCTACCTCTAACCCGAAAAAGGGAGCCCACGAGGCCGCTCGAGGACTCACTGACCGCGCTGCCTCCACAGTCCCTCTGCCTCGCTGTGAACCCTTACTTACGTTCAACGAAACAACAAAGCACTTCTATCTGTCAAGAAGGGTATTCCCTCTCCCACACCCGGCCTTGTGCAGGGCGCAGGCCGTCACCCTGAGACTATTGCAAGCCAGTGCGTATCCTAACCCTGTGGTTCTTCATGCCATCTACCCTGAATGGTATCCAAGTGTGGATTGCCCCGTTTGTGGACTGTTAGCCACATTCAATCATGTGTTGTGGGAATGTGAAGTCATCGGCCCCGCCCTCAGCGAGGACAGGTGGGCTGCGCTCTTACGCAGCCCCGAACTTAAGGATCAAACCCTGGCCGTCCAGAGTGCCCGCGAACGGGCCGCCAAGCTCGGCTTGACGGTCCCAACGTGGGATTAGCTGGGTGGCGCGGGGTCTCCCCTGCGTCTTCTCAGGACAAAAATAAAGTTTTAATCAATCAATCACTGCGGCTCAACCTTTCTACAACCAAGAGGGTTACGCCCAGTGAGTATAACGTAACAACCCTTTCTTGTCAGATAGTGCTCAATGTACATGCCAATTTCTGCTAAGAAGGAATAAGAGACATGAGAATTCGGCTTTTAGTTTTTTATTGTTCAGCAACGCACAGAATAAATCTCCCACTAGCACCACCTTGGAGGTTAAAATGCAAGACTGGTTACGCACTACTGCTACGACCACGAGGGACAAACTGGTGCCGCTACAAGAAGCTTCGCCCCTAAAATGGCTACGTATATCCGCACTTCTGTGCAAACACGTCAAAAGACGGGTCCTGTCTGCAGGCGATGCGTTATAAACGGCCCCATCTGGCAGTAATGTTAAGAAAGCGAAGTTTCTTTAAACGCAGGCCCACTGGTAGGAAGCAGCACTGGACTTTAGTCTTTCAAGTCCCCAAATCTTTTTAGCGAAGCGTAGGAAACACCCGGTTTTTCATTTATAGCGTCACATTGTCAGCGCAGCGTAATGAGCACTTCAGCCATTAGAATTAGTATCTATACATTTTCTAAATTAAAAGACACACTTCCTAACACTTCTCATTGATGTTGCGTCTCAAGTATCTGTAGTATACTTCATGAGTGACAATGTTCAGAAGTATGAACGCGCCCACCAGATTAAAATGGGTGAGCTTTGAGTACGGGCTTAAACTTTCGCTGAGTGGCTGAACTATTGAACGGATGCCAAAAAAGAGACACACCAAAAGGACAAAGGTATGACCTCATCTGCTTACTCGAAAGCGAAGCCGAGACCAAGCGTCGTGTGTTGGTAGCCGCGGTGGTCATTGAGGAAAACGTTCAAGCTATGGGCGTAGGTGTTCTCATGGGG